CTATTTTCACTTAAAAATGAGTTAATTTCAGTCGAGTTTACCTCTCTGATCGTTGGTGCATTTGAGAGAGTTTCTATGGGATACACCTAATGAATTTCCTCGCTTTCTGCTATTTAATTTACGGTATAAAAGCCTGATTTCAAGTGATTCGCAACGATTGACAGAAATTGTTTTTGTGGTACAACTTCAAACTTTGCATAAAATTTCAGCATTTTCAAGACCTCGCTCAACTCCAAATCCTCGTGTCCACGTGACCAGAGTCGCGTGGACACGAGGATATTCGTGTGTAACCATTCTTTGCGTTTCCTAATGTGAGATTCCTGTGAAGGGCGGTAGATAGATAGGTAGATAGATATTGTTCAGGCAACTTGCGGGTTAATACATTTTGGTTCCGAAAGACAGGTATAGAACCGACGATGAATTGACGACGTTTGGCGCTATTGATTTTGGAAATACGAGTTTCAACCACACTGTACAGATTCCAGACACCTTATTTATTTATTTATTTTTCGCGAGGACTGGGGTGAAGGCCGTGGAGACTACTCAAGCATTTGTAGCTATTTGTGACAGGCCGTTTTCAGCATCTTATTTTGTTAGTGTCCGAGCCCTCGCTTCACGCAATTAGCATGCGCTTAAATTAAATTTGGCGACAAATAACCGGCTGAAAATGTTGAAGTGACGGGTTTCACTCATGCACAAAAAACCAAGGGTGATTATGAGTAGATTAAAAACTAATCTCTCAGGGGCATTTTCTGCGAATNATGAATTAAGTTTATTTGTGCCGATGCATTGTACGGAAATGAGTTCGGGAGCTCTCTGTGGTGTCGCACTGGTTTGCTGAGGATGATATGGTGTACAACAAATAATCAACTCTTGAATTGGCATTTCTTGGCCACTTAGAATGCGACCAGTCTTTTATACTGGCGGATAGATAACACTCTTTAACATGATTGGCTGTCATGTTACATGACAGACCACCATCGGACCGACAAATATGTGCCTTGAATACAATAGGTCAATTTATAGACATAAATAACATCATGCCTTGGCTTGATGTTTGTTTTTGTGGACACTGAACACTCAAAATATTTCTTTCTCAACCCTTTATGATTTTCATTTCTCGTTATGTTAGTGTGTATTTTTTTTTTGTCTAAAAGCAGCTTGGTTGATTTTTTTTTCGTCACAATTACCCAACCCCACTCCCTTCAGTAGATCATTTTGCATAGCTTAAACAACCTGTTATCCAGCCATCCAGTCTGCCTGAGGAGCACCTCGCGTTGGACATTAGCATTTCCCCCCAAAATAGTTAATATAATTTTTCACGTTGTTATTGTAAGATAGTTTTGCGCTGGTATGTAAATTCGTTGGTATGCAGGTTACGTAATTATGCTACGAAGTTAATATTTAAGGAGTTTTTCCGTTAGGAGTTATCACTTCAACGGCATCTCCACTTTTAATCAGTTCATTTTGGAAATTTTGTTCTAGTAAATTTCCGTGTTTTTGTTTACTACGTTTATGGTGTTAACAACTATCCTAGGGCAATTTATGTCTGATCAATAAACGAGATGCCCCCTCCTATATGACTGATGTTTTCTTACTTATATACTAAGTTAGAAATTATTTTGTTTCCGTTCCACTGCAGAGTGATTAGACAACAACTATATATATTGCGCAGGTTGCATGAATAGATGATTACCTGCGCATAATTCTTTTTTTTAATTATTTTTTTCTCAAGAGGGCACGGTAACGAATTCTTCAATTTGATTGGTTCTCAACGTGGTCCGGATTTTCCTATCTCTGACCACGGTCACGGTAACGGCGGGAAACAGCGCGGGTGAAACTGTTGTGTTGGTCAATTTTCCTGAGTGAACTGGCCGGCGGTAATCGTCAACCTTTCGCTCTTTTTACACATCCATCGATGATTAATAAACGGAAGTTTAGCTCTATATATACCTTTAAATAGCGAGGAAAGTCAATGCAAGTAAATTCAATTGAGTATTTTGACGTTGTGAGGGTTTGTTTGGTTATTTGTAGCTCGGCGTTGTAATGGCGCGCAATCCTATGTTTCTCTCGCCGCACGATTTTAATCAAAAAGAGTCAATTGCAGTCCAGTTTAACCGTTGCTATGTATTTAAGAGAATTTCTTTGGAATACACTGAACGAATTTCCTCGCTTTCTGCTACTCAATTTACAGTAAAGCAGTCCGATTTCGAGTGATTAGCAACGGCTCTAAGAAATTGTTTTTGTGGTACAACTTCAAACTTTTCTCGAAATTCCACACCGGGAAAACAGTTTTGGAGAACGTAACTGGGAACTAGACGCAACTAACATAAAGTTGTTCGAAATAAATTTGGTCTTAAAAAAACATCTTTCATTGTCTAGTATCTCTTGCTCGTTCACTCGTTAGAGTTTTTGCGATGGTTTGTTCACGGCACGTAAGCCAATTCATTGACAAAGTTGCGTAAACAAACCCGCTTGTAACCCAATTTAACGCAGGAAAAAATAACATAGGTTATTTGCCAGCTTAGGGTCGGTCCGTATAGTGAAAAAACTGTGACCTCGGGCTTGAAAATGCTGCCCTCGGCCTGCAGCTTCGTACAGCATTTTCAAGACCTCAGTCACTGACAGTTTTTCACTATACGGACCTTCCAGCCGGCAAATACCATATAGCATGTACCATGGAAGAAAGTGTGTCCTTTTTTGAGTGTTCGTATATATGCCGTGTATGATAATGATTACTGGCTGCGGTCGCAGCCTTTTGTAACATGACTTTAGAATTTACAGCGGAACATGGCTACAGTCGACTACGCGGTCACATCAACACAGTTAACTACTTTTATAAAGGCTAGTTCTGCCGGACTTGCCTTTGTGTGACGTCAGAGTTAACAGCAGTCAATTACATCGTCAGCGTTAACGGTTCTTCTGGTTACTCTTTGGTCACATGACGTCAGACATAACGGTAGAAAGTGGCTGCAGTTGACCGCTTTGCTATCACAACAATACCACTAAGTTACACATTTCTGACTAGCCTTGTAGTTGACAGTCCAAGTTATCTGGTCAAATCTGGCTTACGCATCATGAAGATATTTCTTTGCTTTTTAGTGTTTCTTTTTTTCCCTACAATCTTTCAATCTTTCTTAATCAAAACAGATCACTATCTTGAAAACTGTGTTTACAGAAAAAAATACGAACAATCGGCTCCTCAACCGCCATCTACTACAAAAGGCCTTTTGATGGCAAGTGCGAACGGTCACCGTGTTTAAGAACTATATTAGATCGTGCGACGCGTTTTATCTGTAGACCAAATTCTAAGGGATGTTTTTGAAACTAAAATATCCCGAGAAACTCATCGCCTCGAACATCAACGGTCTCCAGTAACCTCCACACTTGACTCGTATGCCATAGGGCAGTCCTTTACAGATCAGTATATATGCCTTACAAGGATCAGAAATCTGCCGACATGGTTCACAGACAACTTCACGACCTTAGAAGAAAACAAAACAATCATGATTTGCAGCCTTAAATTTAGAAGCAGAAAGATTAGGGAAAAAAATGAGGAATTTAAGTGTGAACTGTGAGATGCAAAATATATCGGCTACACGTGGCGCTACCTCCATCAACGTGTACAGGATCAGAAGGAAAAAAAAAAAACATTCAAGGACGGACATAATGTAAAACCGCTGGTGAACCTTTGTGAGATTTTCAATATCCCTAAGGGATGCCGGGGCAAGCTTGAGTGTTGAATTTTTGCGATGCTCAAAATTAGAAAGAAATGTCCGGAACTGGACACTCATAAGACTCTATTCGCGCGAAACGTTTCGTATCAGTTAAGGACTTGTTTTTACCCTCTTTGAATGAATGAATTTTGTCAGAATTCCATTTCTGAATATATAGCATTATAGGTCACTTATTTTAATTTCTTTTCAATTCCACAATCATGACATGACGTCATCGAGACGTCATGTAACGTGCTTATCGTTAATTTTCTTTTTCTTCTCTTTTAGTAATTAATATAATTTACATGTTTTTCATTATAAAGGACATTTTAAATTAAGAAAGAGAGAAAGTTATGGACAGAGAAACAGTTTAATTTTCCGAAATGTTGATTACCCCAGTGGTCTCCTGATAATTTCTAAATGTCAGTTTTGCAGGTATTTAGGCTTGAAGTCAGCCTTCAGAAACCTCTGCAGGTGTCTCGAACAGACATATAAAATTCATATCAGGTTGCATGCAGATATTGGTACCTTCAATTCCCAGTTGGCAGTTTAATGTTTTTCCGGGAAACGTTTGGAATATTAAGTTTTTCTTTCATTCTACCTTTAGGCAGGCAGTGTCTGGGCTTTAACACTTTAATCCTGCATTGCTCACAACGTGAATAGATAAACAAATAAATGACAACAATAGAAATAAATATATGTAAGGTAAGTGAACTTGGTATCAGGGCTGACAACGAAATGGCTTAAGATGTATAAATGAAGGCNCCATCAACGTGTACAGGATCAGAAGGAAAAAAAAAGACATTCAAGGACGGACATAATGTAAAACCGCTGGTGAACCTTTGTGAGATTTTCAATATCCCTAAGGGATGCCGGGGCAAGCTTAAGTGTTGAAATTTTGCGATGCTCAAAATTAGACAGAAATGTCCGGAACTGGACACTCATAAGACTCTATTCGCGCGAAACGTTTCGTATCAGTTAAGGACTTGCTTTTACCCTCTTTGAATGAATGAATTTTGTCAGAATTCCATTTCTGAATATATAGCATTATAGGTCACTTATTTTAATTTCTTTTCAATTCCACAATCATGACATGACGTCGTCGAGACGTCATGTAACGTGCTTATCGTTAATTTTCTTTTTCTTCTCTTTTAGTAATTAATATAATCTACATGTTTTTCATTATAAAGGACATTTTAAATTAAGAAAGAGAGAAAGTTATGGACAGAGAAACAGTTAAATTTTCCGAAATGTTGATTACCCCAGTGGTCTCCTGATAATTTCTAAATGTCAGTTTTGCAGGTATCTAGGCTTGAAGTCAGCCTTCAGAAACCTCTGCAGGTGTCTCGAACAGACATATTACTTCATATCAGGTTGCATGCAGATATTGGTACCTTCAATTCCCAGTTGGCAGTTTAATGTCTTTCCGGGAAACGTTTGGAATATTAAGTTTTTCTTTCATTCTACCTTTAGGCAGGCAGTGTCTGGGCTTTAACACTTTAATCCTGCATTGCTCACAACGTGAATAGATAAACAAATAAATGACAACAATAGAAATAAAGATATGTAAGGTAAGTGAACTTGGTATCAGGGCTGACAACGAAATGGCTTAAGATGTATAAATGAAGGCAAGCCCCGAGGATCAAGCACGTCATACAGGTAACTTATAATATCAGCCGTAGAGGATTGTGTCTTTTATATTTATCTATCAGTAATTTTTTTTTATTATTATTTTCTTTTAAAAATTGAAAACCATAGAAAAAATTAAAATGCCATCTCTGAGGTTTAATTACCAGCTATATGATAAAATACACCGTTGCTATGGCACCATCAGACAGGTGGTTTATTGAGCAGTGTGACAAAGTACGGTGCCTCTTTTCCGTCGAAATAACCCTTTTTAGCATCAGTTGAAAGTTGAAAGTTTTATCCTTAGAAGACCCAAACGTGTTGAAATCACCACCGAAATAGGAATTTTGCTCTAAAATCAGCAATTAAAGAACAAAGGCAAAGGCAAAGACAAGAACGCAGTTAAATATCAGGCTAAGACAGATGCCAGTGGTTTCATTTTCTGGCAGGTGGAAAGGAATACTGTTAATGTCTTTGACTGAGAGCTTTAAGATTTGACGCGATTAAAAAAGGTAAGCAAGTACTATTTTCTTCTCTTAAATTTCAATTTTTTTTTAGAAAAATCTTAAGTTTGGACGGCGACCGACAATCTTTGCTTCATGTTGAGAAACATTATTGCTGACGGTTGTTCTATAAACTTATTATCATCATGTTTGAAAATTTTGGAATAGATGATTATTGCAAAGCAAGCTTCCGTAACTGTCGACTGTCGTTTCATCGTGTAAAGCATGAGACTTATTATTTTAAAGTACAAATTTATTTTGTCCGAGTCTGGCGTAATGAGTACCACGCTATTTAATCAAACGTCATATAGTCCCGTTGTGTACCCGTGCAAGAAACTGTTGGGAGGGAAGCATCTAAGTACATCTTTCCAACGTCCTAGAGTGTCAAATAAAATGTCGAAGCATTTTAACATAAAATTTAATGAAAAATAAAAGCTTTTAAAATAAGAGCCGTATTTCCAGATCAACTTTCTAATCATAATATTTAATTAAATTGTTCTCGTTAAATTGTCAGCATTGATAGAAAGACGTCATAACTCCCAGTCGCCGATAATCTTCGCGCAAAGCATTTTTTCTCTTTTTTT